TCTCACTTCTGTGAGTTGGGGTGCTGAGATCGGGGTGCTGCTCTTCTCCACTGGTTCACTGTAAAGGATGTATGGTTGATTGATTTTCTAGCTCTTCATCCTTTAATTTAATTGAGATTTGATTTCTATGAGTTTCTTAAAACATCATTTTTTTCTTTCACTAAGTTATAACTATCACAGCTATTTAATGCCAGAACATTTCTCCCTCGTTATTGCTTTGATTAATTTTTAATTAGATTTACAATTAGCACACAGAGCACTGGCTTTCATGATGGCATTTTCTTACGTATGTAACATTACACTTTGTTCTACTTCATCACCATCCCTAACTCACGTTTTCTGCCCTGACATCCTGCTCTTCCTGGTCAACTTCCTCCCCCAAAATAGTCTACTAATTCCATAACATTCTGTACTGTTTCTCTCAACTCATTAATTCCTTCTCGTTTCCTCCTCCTTTGATCACCGGGCAATCAGGAATGAACTTCCTATCTATGGATTTTCCTATATGGAAAGTTCGGTAGATGAATTACAGTTACTGTCCAGCTCGATCTTTTAGCAACTCAGCTGTGGTATGTCTGTGTGGCCATGTGATGGCCCCCCAGAGCTCCTGTTGATGCTCATGTAACATTCCATTCTGTATATGCACAGAATTTCTGGTAATTCTAACCCCAGGAACCAGATCCTCAGACAAGCTAAATAGCAAGACTGGTCACACTCCTGAGTTTAAGTTCGATTCAGAGACCCTGCCTCAATGAATATGGTGGAAGAAACCTGTAGGATGATTCATGACATCAACTTCTGACCTCTACATGCACACATACCCACTTGCATGTGCTCCCACATGTGCAAACCATGCATACACATACACATGAAAGGTATAAGCTGGGGCTGGAGAGATGGCTCAGTGGTTAAGAACACTGACTGTTCTTGCAGAAGATCTGGGTTCTAATCCCAGCACCCACATGGCAGCTAACAACCGTGTATAACTCCAGTTATTGCACGACACAGGTGCATTGCACGACACAGGTGCACTTACCTACATGCAGGTAATACATGAATACACATAAAATAAAAATAATAGAATTTTTAAGAAAGTATAAGCCACGAAGGCACAAACATTCCTTGCTACATTAAAGTGACAAAGTCTTGCCCAGCATGGGGGTCAACCTAAAAGACCACCCACAGACTGGGAGGAAATGTTCATAAACCCTGTGTGTGGCTGTGTGTGGCAAGCAGTCAGCAGATAAGATGCATAGAGATCTGATGGGCATCAGTAGCAAGCCACCACACAGCCTGAGCGAGGATCGTTGGCGTCCACTTGATCCCCCTAAGGAGACGCCATGGAGCTGGCATCCCTTCACGCAGACTGTGTTTATGCAGGTGTTTCAGGAAGAGGCTTACACTTCAGGTAGGAAACCAAGCAAAGCAGCCTTGCTTTCTCTGGTGTGGGAGAGCGTCCTCCAGCCCCTTGAACAAACAGGTGAAGCACAGCAGAGTCCCCGAGTCTAACACTGGCCTGACTCGTTTGGGCACCTGAGACCCTGGTTATCGGTTTTCTAATTGTCAGACTCACACTTCTGCTCCTGTCCCTCCCCGGTCTCCTGCCCTTCCCCTTCCCCTCCATTTTTATTTTATGTGTATGAGTATTTTGCCTGTGTGTATGTAAGTGCACCCATGTCATGCAATGCCTGCAGAGGCCAAAAGTGAGCATCAGATTCCCTGGAACTGGAGTTAGGGACATTTGTTAGCTGCCACGTGGGTGCTGGGAACCAAACCCAAGTCCTCTGCAAGAGCAGTCAGTGCTCTTTACCGCTGCGCCATCTTTCCAGCCTGGAGTGAGTTTTCAGGCTTGGATGGGGGGAGGGGTTACAGCCCAGAAGGAGCAAATAACACAAAACCCTCAGAATTAAAAATGGGTTAGAATAAAATTCTAATAGCAGTTGAAATTTAGATAATTCAATCAACTTTTCTAACATTCGTTTCTTCCATTGCTAATTAAGGATTACTGAGTCTCATGGGGTTGCTTTGTAGTTGAAATAAAGTATTTAAAGCCCTCTACCTGCCAAGGAGCAGACACTACATAAATAATTCATTTTAAATTATTGGAATTAAAACTAAACTAATTAAGTTTCTTATGTTTTTGTATATTAGAAAACATCGCTAGAATAGATATCTGGCCATTTGCATTCCCATTAATAGGAGAGCACATCAAATTAAAAATTTAGATACAACAAAATACACAGGTCAGGAGTGTACAATCCTCTGGTCAGCACAGTGCATACTGTTCACTGCATGCCCAGCCAGAGCCACACACCCACACATCCCACAAATCAATGGAAAGAAAGGGGCAAAGAATCCAGTAGAAAAATTGGTTACGATAGTGAACTTGCAAGCCTCAATAAATTAATGCAAACATTCACATTAACCAAGGCTTAACATCACAGAGACTAAACATGGCTGTGTAAAAATCTCTGCTTGTTGAAATGACACTGAAATACTTAGACAATAGCAGTTCTTCCTGAAAGAAAATGGTGATAAAATGGTTATATTTTTGGAGACTAAGTAGCGTGCTCGTGCTCAGCAATTTTTATAGCTTAAGAACTATGATCTGGGTGTGGCGCCCACTTGGAATCTTAGAACTCAGGAAGCCGAGGCAGGAAGATCACTGAAAGTTTGATGCCAGCCTGGGTGACATAGTAAGATACTATCTCAAAAGGCAGACATAAAGAAGAATTTTCTTTAGCAAGTGTTTCATTAAACAAAACAATTGAAGATAATGTAAATATCACTAATCATTAGAAAAATATCTGTCTCTGTGAGATCAAGGCCAGACTGTCTACGGAACAAACTCCATGCCAGCTGAGGCTATGGGGAAACTTTGTCTCAAAAAACTAAAATCTGGACAACCAAAAAACAAAAGAAATGTCAATGACTTAAATGGAAGCATTTTTTCCACAAATATATACTTAAAATAGAAAAATAAAAATGCAATGCATGTGAATACAGAGGGCTGGAGAGATGACTCAGCTGTTCAGATCCCACACCGCACTTACAGACGACCTGAGGAGGTTTCCCAACACCCATGGCGGGGCTCACAACCTCCTGGAGGTGAGCAGTTTGATTTAGTAACATGTGCCGTCCTAAGAGCAAAGGCTGCATAGCTTCCATTTCCTGGTTTATTTGTATATTCTTCTTGATTTGGGCACAGCTTTCCAAATCCCTTTCAGTCTCTACTACTAACTGTCTCCTGCTCATTGGCACGTACCTCTGTTGTGCATTTATAAGGATATTTTCACAGCATAAAATACAGTCTGTGAGTCTTGATCTCTCCACTGTGCTATAAATCACTGTGCACCATCTGATGACTAAGCCTCCAGACAGCACTGTCAATGGTATTCAGCCTAATTAATTACCTTTCAGATACGGAAATGGGAATGAGTTTATTACTGTTAGGGAAACAATCAAATGCTTACCACAATGGACTGAATAATATTGAACCCTGTGTGTGCATGGTCCAGCACTAAGAGTTGTGCAGCTTTGTTCAATTCCACACAACACACACAATTCCAGTAAGTTTTAAAATTACATTTATTATTTATTTATTGTGTGTGCATACGTATGTCTGTGCGTATGTGTGAAGTACGCATGTAGAGATCAGAGGAAAAATCCCAGGAGTTAGTTCTCCTCTCCCGCCTTGTGGGTCCCAGGAACCAAACGTGGGTTCTCCAGCGTGCTGTTAAGCAGTTTCCTCCCCTGAGCCATCTTCCAGTCCCACAGGAAGGTGCTTTGAAATCAGTTTAGAGAAATTATGCAACCGCATACGTGTATATTGAGAACCTAGAAAAGACTAGATAGCTTTTTAGATCTTAACAAATCTTTGCTCTTTCTTGATGAAGACAGCAAGTTCACATGCAGCCAGGACTTTCTAGTGTGTTATAAACTGTATTTTTTTTCTTCTTTTTATGTTAATATCTGTAATTCCACATTACCACCGCCCCCATTTTCCCTGCTTTGGTTAGATGATGAGTTTGAAATTCAACCTTTTCTCAGGAAAAATAGTCCACCTGTTCTATATTTAGTTGTTTGCTTTTCCGGTGTGTAGAATTCAAACAGACTGGTTAAATTCACATTTTCTTGCCTTGAATATTTTATACATCCGTTACTCATTAAATTTCAATTATCAAATATAGGTCATGATCCCAAATATTTTTTAAAATTTATTATTTTATGCATGAGTGTATTGTTTACTTGTATGTAAATGCACCCATGTCATGCAATGTCCATGGAGGTCAGACAAGGCCGTCAGATCCCCCATGAACACATTTTAAAAAATATTTTATCATTTTTATTTTATGTGTATGAGTGTGTTCCTGCATGTATGTGAGTGTACCTGTGTTGTGCAATGCCAACGGAGGTCAGAAGAGGGTGTCGGATTCCCCTTGGAAGTGGAGTTAAGGACGGTTTGTTGCCGCCATGTGGGTGCTGAGAATTGAACATGGGTCCTGTGCAAGAACAGTCAGTGCTCTTAACCGCTGAGCCATCTCTCCACCCCCCTGCACCCATTTTTAAGTGATCTATTTCTGGTCACTGTCCATTAACTCTCCCTGTAGTAGGTTTTTCTACTCTAGAACTTTCTTCACTTCATTCAGAAATGTACTGTATATATTATTTTTACATGTTTTAATTTTTACTGTGATCACTTGTAGTTGTTTTCCCACCCATTCCCCTCTGTCATCCCCTTTCCTGCTGAAACCCTTCCACCCAACATGCATGCATTCTTTTCATATTTTAATGTAGTTATTATTTGTGTATGTCGATGTGGAGGGCACAGGATAACTTTCTAGAGCAGTCCTCTCCATCAGTGATTGTTCTCTGACATGCGTCTTTCCATCATAATCATGCTTTTAGGAGCTGACGCTTTCCTATGGATGTTGTTTTCCTTTTCACTGCTTAGTAGCATTTCATTATGTGAACATCAGTCTTTGTTCATTTCTATTTGTAGACCCATGAGTACGTCTGTTTTCATCACTGTGAACACTTGAGGACCAGTGCTTCTGAGCTGAGGTCGTCTCACTCCATGGCAGACATTTGGGATCATTGCCACAGGAAGTGTGGAGGGGGCAGAGGCCAGAGAGACTGCTAGACCCCGCATTGCGTAAGTCACCTCTACGCTCTTCCTCTAACCCTTCTCCCCACCAGATCTCTTTTCTATGTAAATCCCTCCATTTAACCCTCTACCTTCAGAAGGGTCTATTTAGGAAAACTATATTTTCTCAGAAAATTATACATCTTATATAGGCTTTGAAATGCATTTATTTGTGGTTTTATAATGGTGGCCCACTCTATGAGGATGACAGGCAAATGTTGATATATCTATATTTCAAAATACTACAAACACACACATTTATCTTGTTTTTCTTTTTGGGAATCTGTGATTAGTAACCCAACAGTGAGTGAGGGCTAACATCTCATTACAAAATTACTCTCAAAAATTGATCAGGAGACATAGCATAATTGAAAAGCCTGCATTTTGCAATTTCTAATGGATGAGTGGACTGGGATTGGGCAGCAATGAAGCAAATGTCACAAAGAACAAACTAGGAGCTGGAGAGGCAGCTCGGTGGTTAGGAGCACACACTGTGTGGAGGGGAACCTCAGACCAGTTTCCAGCCCCCACCTTGAACGGCTCACAGCCGCCTGGAACTCCACCTCCAGGGCATTCAAGCTCCAGATGCACCTCCAACTTGTAGGAAATTTCCCAGAGGGCAGTGAAGATACCCAGAGCATCTGTGCAGAAGTGACCTCCAGATGGCGGAATGTTCAGATGTCCTGGGGTCTTCAAGAGCTAATTCCCTTATTTTTATTGTTTAACAATTTCACACATGCATATAATGTATTTTGATCAAATTCACCTCTGTTCTCCACCTCCAATTATCTCCCTACCACTTGTTCCCTCCAAACTTCATGTTTTTTATTATTATTATTAAACTTTTTGGTTTTGTTTTTATTAACCCACTTAGTGCTGCCTGCATATGTGTGGGTGCCGGAGCACTCACTGGAGCAGTGGAGCCCCTCAGGGCTGCATCACTGATGAACACTGACTCTCCTCCCGCAGCAGCTGTCAGCTGGCATTCGCTCCTTAGGCAGAATGGGACTTCATGAACCCCTCTCAGATCATGCTGGGATTTTGGTGGCCTTGGTCTTTTATTGAATTTTTTTGATTTACATACAATATAATTTGATTGTATTTAGATCCCTGCCCCCATCTACACCCCCCCATGTTGTGCACCTTAATTTAATGCAGTCTGTTGTGTAGAATAAGGCCTATAGACTCTAATTAGCGTCTCCAAATGTCTTTCAGTACGGGTCCCTCCACTGGAGCCATCCTTGAAAGACTATGCCTCTCCTCCCACCCCTGGTACCCATCAGTTGCCAGTAGATCCTCATGTAGGGTTGTGGATTCTCACTTCTTCATGTCTGTGCTGGGATTTTGTCTGGTTTGACCGTGCATGGGACTGTGCATGTTCTCACCAGTGCTGTCTGTTCATATGAGTAACTGACCAGCTGCCTGGAAAACTGTTTTCTTGTGGTCCTCCACCAGCTCCGGGCTCTGACAATCTTTCTGTCCCTCTTCCACAAGGATCCATGAGCCCTGGGAGGCAGAGGTTTGATATAGGTGTTCTGTTTAGAGATAAGCAGTCTGGCTGTCTTGATCTTATAAATCTGCATCTGCCAGTAGCTCACCAGGGGTCCGTGAACTACACTCCCAAGATGGTGACTCCCCTCCCTTTTTTCCCAGTGAGCTCAGCATTTCCCAGTGTCCTTAGTTCTCTCTCAGCATGTTCAGTGTCTGTCCTTAGATCCGCCTGCAATTGAAACTGACTGATTGGGTGGGAGGAGTGGCTGTCTCGGAGGACACGCCTACCCAACCCTTGGGCATGCAGTCCCAGCCACTATGAGTGCCTCTGTGGCTGCACACCTCCACTAGCTCTGACGCCTTTCCATGGTGATCTCTGAGCCTTGGCCGTAGAGATTGATAAATGAGTAGTCAAAATGTGGTACATGTGCAATGGAAACTATTCAACTATAAAGAAAAATGAAATTCAAATGTAAATTGGTGGAGATGGAAATAATCATTATGGAAGTGAGATAACCCAGCAAGACAAACTGCATGTTCTCTCTCACATGTGAAAGCTAGCTTTTAATCTTTAGGTACATGTTCCTATTGCACTACACATAAGTTAGGAAGTTAGCAAGTTTCCATGCAGGCAGGGGATAGGACACAGGTGGACGAACAGGGAGAGGGGGAGGATGGGGACACATAAGTAACACCAAAGGTTGTTAGGAAATGTCATATGGAGCACAGCACTCCAGAAGTTTTTAATGTTTACGCCTGTGTACAGACAATGAGAGATAACGTTGTGACAAAAGAATCGAAGGGGTGTCTGCGGGTTAGAGGAATCTTAACTAGATCAGGCCAAGTATGGCCAAGCCGGCGTTTCCAGACAGGGACACCAGGTTGTTGCTGTCAACCTGACCATGGAAGAATGGCCGGAAGGGAGCACAGCAAGTGGGGCTTTGGGGCAGCGCCACACACACCCTCCATGTTCCAAGCAGTGGCAGCGACATGTGTGAAGCCATACGTGCGGTGTGGGTGCTTGTCTGTTCTATTAGATACCAAAGGGCCACAAAATATGAAAGTCTCCACTTAGAAAGTTAACACTGCAGGGAAAGCAGACTGGGCACGAGGCGGAGGGCCAAAGCTTGTGTTTATGTGATCAGTATTTAGATGTCTGTTTCCTGAAAGGCTGCGCCTGCCGTTCTGCTTGTTCAGAGCACAGGCTTGGGTGCTAACCATTTCCTCTGCCCTCTCTGGGTCCTGCTTTCCAATCCATCTAGGATAGCACATTTGTCCCTATCTCGGCCTCTCTTGGCTGTTTCAAGAACAGAGTAATTTCCCCCCTTTTGTGGGGGATAAGGCAAATAATGCCACTCTACCACAAACCCCAGGGCCCCCCGTATACCTCACACTAAACACTGACATCACAATGGACAGCAGGTTCCCAGTGGGCTGAGCCCCTTGCTTACTGCCCTCTTTTCCCAGTACCCCGGCCACCCTGGTTTTCTGTGGAGGTGTTGGGAATCTGCAAGCACTTTACCATCTGAGCCATCATCTTCCCAGCCACTTCTGTCTCTTTTATAGACACTCACCCTTCCATCTTGTAACCATGCTGTGTTTAATTAGGAATGCCCTCTGAAGGCTGTGTAACTTGCTCCTGCTTCTGCTCACAGGATGCTGTGATGTGCACCTCCCAGCTAATTCCAGAGCTCAGCCTCTTCAGCTGTGGCCATCACTACTGTGCCTGGTGTCATCCCGGTGACTTCTGACTCCAGCTGCTTATGGTCCATGGGCAGTGCTGGGCTTCTCTGTTACCTATGTGATTAAAGGGCAATTTTAATACTAATGTACTACACGTAAGTTAGGAAGCTAGTAAGGCTTCATTTTTCCCACATTTGAGTCTGTTCACTGCTGGACTCTCAGGACCTGGCAGCCCAGCCCAGACTCAGTGACCAGCTGATAGACAACCTAAGCCTGTGTGATTTGTGGTGCCTCCTCATATATAAAGCGGTACTCAGTCACCCAGTGCCTGGTGAACAGGGATGGAGCAGCTTTGCCTCACCTACAAGGACAGGGAAGGAAGGACAGCTCCCTGCCTGATGGGAGACGTCAAGAGGTTAAAAGAAGTCTAGACTTTTCTAGACCTCACTATAGCCAGAGGGCTTCATCACATCTCTCCCACTCAAAACAAAGCTGACCATGACAGTGCATGGAGCTCATAGGGGCTTAGGCACATCTTGCAGAGTAGATGGAAAAGGCACTGCTGTGACAGATCCCACAGCACAATAGGTCAGGGCCTAGACCACGATCAACTTCATCCCACAGTATCATGTTAGACATTTTTAAAACTTTAGCTCCGTATTCTGAATTTTTATCTGTGTGTGCATGTACCAGCCAGAGGTTAATGCCAAGTGATTTCCTCAATCACTCTTTACCTTCATTTGTGAGACATGGTCTCTCGGTGAACCTGGAACTCACAGATTGGCTAGACTCAGTGTCCAGAGAGCTTAGAATCTGACTGTATCTTCCTTCCAAGAACTGGGGTTACAGATGTCCCAGGCCTAACTATTATGTGGATACTGGGGACCCAGACTAAGGCCCTCATGCATGCACAGCAAGCACTGGCCCTCCTGAGCCAGCCCCTGGAACTGGGGTTACAGATGTCCCAGGCCTATTATGTGGATACTGGGGACCCAGGCTAAGGCCCTCATGCATGCACAGCAAGCACTGGCCCTCCTGAGCCAGCCCCTTTCCATATATCTGTTTTAAATTAAAACTGTTACCCTTCCTTGAGGATTTACAGACAGGTAAGGGTTGCCAAGCCACCTGCCAGCTCTCCTGATCTGACACAGCCCTGACTCATGCAGGACATGGAGACCCCCTAATGTGAAGCAAACCGAGATCTGACAGGGATGGAGGCCGCCTGGCCTGCATCAGAGGGGGCAGGAGAAGAAGTGGAAAGTGAATGTTTGGTTATGACCTTTCTTTATAGGACCGGGCTTCTATTTTGGGAGTGATATTAACTAATATATTTACTTTATAAAAGATACAGTAGATGATGGATATACCAAAGTCACTTCATGGTTGGAAAACGCTCAGAATTGATGGAATTTTTATATAATTAAGTAATGAAAGGCAGCAAAGGAGGAAACAGAGAAAAAAGGTAGAAGGGTAGAAATAAGTCTAAAATCATAACCAGAGTGAAAGTTACTAAACTGATTAAAAGGCATATTAGAATGTTGGAAAGAAACAGAAAAAGTTATAACCCACATATTAAAAATACGCATAAATTAATTGAAGTGCAAATGATCTGGGGAGCGAAACTGAAATGGAAATAAATTAGAAAGCAAAGCTCATCACCTGTATTAGAGGGGACTGTTACATTGTAAGAAGAGGGTATAAAATCAATGGGGTTTGGATATTTGTGACATGAAGGTGTTAATGTCTAGAAAGGAAAGACTGAACGGACGAAGCTGCATTGTAGAAGGGGTAAAAACGCAGCAGAGCGAGAACTAGCCAAGGTAGATGGATCTGTG